AAAAGAATGTTTTAAATTGGTCTTCCAAAAGCTAAAAACCTAGTTTCAAAACTTACTTAGATAAAGGAAACACAATTAACAACTCAGAAAAGGTGAGAAAATTCAAGTACCAAAGAAATAATGTAGGGGTGGTACAGTTTGAGATGGGGAACAATGCAAGCCATGAAGAAAGGTCAGATTGGGCTAAACAGTGGGAAAGGAATTTCAAGAATACAACGAACACTGCCCTACTTAAGATATATAAGCTTAACTTGGTCTAAGCAGACACGAATAAAGAGAGCCTGAAGAAAGACAATGGCAAATGAAATAAAACATCAAAGCAGTAGTTGGCTTATCACTTTCTCTACCTCAGTAGTACATTGGAAATCACCTAGGAATCTTTTAAATACTGATATCTAAATTTGACCCTAGATTTCTATCTTAATTAGTCTGAAATAAAACCCAAATGCAACAGGATTTTTAACTTCCCTAGAGACTTTAATGTGTATCCAAAGAATCATTCTCTTAAAGAAAAAAACAGTAGCAGTTGACAATTAGAAGCACAGGAAGAACACAAAAAAATTATGACAAGAATATATTTATAAAAGTGATTACATCGGGGCTGGAAAGATGGCTCAGTGGTAGAGTGCGTGCCTTGCATGCCTGAGGCCCTGGGTTCAATTCCTCAGCACCACATAAGCAAAAAGAAAAAAGCCGGAAGTGGCGCTGTGGCTCAAGTGGTAGAGCGCTAGCCTTGAGCTGAAGAGCTGAGGGACAGCGCCCAGGCCCAGAGTTCAGGCCCACAACTGGACCCAAAAAAAAAAAAAAAAAAAAAGTGATTACATCAACTAAGCACATTACTTCCATGTCTAATATCCCAGCTACTTGTAATGCAGAAATCTGAGGATTGAAGTTCAAGGCCAGTCTAAGCAAGAAGTGACCAAGACTTTACCTCAACAACAACAAAAAACTGGACATCAGTAATCCCAGTTACATGGGAGGTGTAAGTAAGAGGATGAAAGTCCAGATTTCTCTAAGCAAAAAATCTGAGACACCACCTGGAAAATAACTAATGCAAAAAGGGCTGAAAGTGAAGCTCAAGTGGTAGAATACCTGCACAAGCCGGGCACCTGTGGCTCATGCCTGTATTCCTAGCTACTCAGGAGGCTGAGATCTGAGGATAGAAATTCAAAGCAAGCCCGGGCAAGAAAGCCCATGAGACTCATCTCCAATTAACCACCAGAAAACAGGAAGTGGTGATGTGTCTCAAGTGGTAGAGCACCAGCCTTGAGCTGAAGAGCTGACAGTGTCCAGGCCCAGAGTTCAAGACGCACAACCAACAACAACAAAAACCTGGACAAGACCCTAAGTTCAAACCCCACAAAGAAAATAGTAGTAGTAGTAGTAGTAGTAGTAATTAGTGAGAACCCAGGAAAGAGAGAAAATGAAGACAGGTCTTTCCAGCCTTGCTCTATAAAGGTCCATGTAACCAAAGTTCATACACTATCATTATTTATCTATTTTTCAACAGAAATGATCAAGTCAAAGTCAATCTTTTTTCATTAATTAAAAATTTAACTATGAAACAAATCTTCTAGGAAGCCTCTTGGATTTCTTTCCTTATATTACCATGGAATTTTAAAGGTACTACAACAATACTTCAATCTTATATAGACAACACATCTGTTCCAGAAAGGTGGAATCAAAAAACTTCATTCTTCTATGCAGAACAGTTTTGCATGTGACATATGCTCATTATGAAATTCAGTGACAAGATGTCCACTTGATTGTATAGTTGTCCCCAGAGATTCTAGAATGTTTCTAAACACTTCATGAATAAGCAAAATAATCTATACCCAGTTGCTTGTCGTTCTTCATACTCTTTAACCATTCTGAGTTTCTTTCAAACGTGATTCACTGCCTTTCACCTATGACCTCACTCCACTGCATCTTGACCAAATTGAGCCTATTCACTTTATAAGTCAATTAAAAAGGAAATGAAAGACTTTTAACTTGAAAATGCCTGTTAGCTCATGCATGTAATCCTAGTTACTCAGGAGGCTGAGATCTGAGGATTATGGTTCAAAGCCAAGCCAGGTAGGAAGGTCTGTGAGATTCTTAGCTCTAATAAACAACTCAAAAAAGCTGAGGGACAGAGCCCAGGCCCTGAGTTCAAGCCTTGCGACCAGCAAAAAAAAAAAAAAAAAGCCTAGAGTTCATCTCCTAAAATATATTTCTGAATCTCAAGAAAATTTCTTTTCTTTTTTTTTTTTTGCCAGTCGTGGGGCTGAACTCTGGGTCTGGACGATGTCCTTCAGCTCTTCAGCTCAAGGCTAGTTCTCTCTCTCACTTGAGCCACAGCACCACTTCCAGCTTTTTCTGCGTATGTGGTGCTGAGGAATCGAACCTAGAGCCTCATGCTTGCAAGGCAAGCACTCATCACTGAGCCACCTTCCCAGCCCGAAAGAAAATTTCTTTAAGACAGCTATCTACCCATAATACTTAAATTTCAACCTAACAGCAAATACTGTTCTAATTTCTACTTAATGCTACATCAAGCTGGGCACAAAAAATGACAAAATTCATGACTGTAATCCTGGTATTTGGAAGGCTAAGTAAGAATGGGAGGAGTAAAGTATGATACCAGCTCAGACAGAAGAGTCTGTGAGACTCCATCTCAACAGAGAAAAGTTGGATGCAATGGCACATGTCTGTCATCCCAGCAAGAAGACAGGATGCCAAATATAAATTAATCACAGTACAAGCATGTGTTTGGGAAGGAAGCAATATCATAACTCAAAAAATAATCAGTGAAAACAGGTCTGGAGGTGTGCTCAGTAGAACACAAATATAGCTAGCCAAAGCCCTGAGTTCAAAAGCCAGAACCATCAAAGACAAAAAAGAAAAAAAGAAAAAACCACTGTTGCGTATCATGGTCTCCATTATTTCAAAATAAGTGCTAACATACACCTATAGTAGGATAATCAAACCAAAAGAGAGTTCATGACCAAGAGTGACTGGCCAGAGGGTCTGAGTATCCCTAGGACTCAACAAGTATCTTGTAAAGCAGTTGAGAAGCTCTTCAGATTTATCACACCCTCTTCTCCACCAAAGGGTATTTTCAAAATGGCTCCCTAATCCTAACTGCAATGGATACTCTGTGTCACTTCCAGCACATAATAGCAGATCTGTATACATTGTGAATCATTGTTCTTTTAATGACTAACATTGGATGCCATTTTTCAACCTATCCATTTTTTTGTATTTCTCATTTTCAAGCATGGATAAGGATTTTAAAAATGTATCACCCTTTCCCATTGTGATTTACCTACTACTTTCTATTTGACTTAACTGTATCACTAATCTCATTTTTCTTGGGTAGACTATCTAATATCAAAACATATCAATGACTTAAAAGGTGCTACTAGTTTCACGATATGGTACAAACAAGAAACACACATTCTTCACCTAGCAATTCCATGATGACTCATCACTACCCTTTCACTTATGTAGGCATACAAGTGAATAAAAAGGTAAATAGCAAATATACAAATAAAAAAGGACCAAGATAATTTAACAAAAGTTCATCTTCTGCATCCTTAACTGAGAATGAGTTTTTATGGGAGCCCCCATCAGTCAAATTGGACTTGAACTCAGCCAGCCTATACAGCACTTAGAATGATATAATTCCCCAAGACATCTGCTGTAGGTGGTGGTATCATCATACCCACTAACATTTCTTTCACAATCATTTTATGGAAGATGTGTGATAATCTGTTTTTATTGGTATTAATAAACATACACAATGAAGAAAACAGATTAACAAATTTAAGACCAAAGTAAGATACCTAATCAAGGCCATTTTATCAATCACATTCATCTCATAACAAAAACACATTCATATTCCCGAGATCAATGTAGATTTCAGGTAGAAAAGAAGGCCCTTCAATTCATCATCCCAGAGCTGTGACATGACACCACATTGAAGGGGCACTACTATTAGAGACTATTTTTCCTCTAGTTTATAACTTACTGAATTAATTCGTCAAATTGTTCACAATAATAGCTATTTAGAAAGCTGAGATCTGAGTACTACTGTTCAAAGCTAGTGGGAGCAGAAAAGTCCATGAGACACTTACCTCCAATTAACCAGCAAAAAAAAAAAAAAAAAAAAATCCAGAAGTAGAGCTATGTGGTCAAGTAATAGAGAGTGTCAGTCTTGAGTAAAAGACCTAAGGGACAGTTTCCAGGCTTAATACCAGTAGAAAAAGTTTTAAAAAAAAAATTAAAAATTAAAAAAAAAATCACAATACTAGTAGAGGGTGGTTTCTTGTTTTGTTTTCATTTTTGTTTTGTTTTTTTGGAGTGGGTACTGGCTTGAACCCAGAGCCTGGGTGTTATCCCTGAGCTTAAGTGCAAGGCTAGCTCACTTAAGCCACAATTTAACTTCCAATCTTCTTGGTAGTTATTGAGATAAGATTCTCTCAGGCTTATCTGCCCAGGCTAGCTTTTATTCACAATCCTCAGATCTCAGCTTCCTAAGTAGCTAGAATTACAGGAATAAGCAACCAACTCCCAGCTCACAATATTGGTTTTTAAACAGAAGCCTTAAAAACTTCTTTTGCAAATGTAACTTCTCATTTGTATCATATAGCACTATATGACAATTATCCACTGTATTCTACAGAGCTCAGGAAACGTATTTTAGAAACTATGAATATCTAAGAAATTAGTTTTGAGCATTTCTTTCTGCTCAAACACAGATGAATACCTAGTTATAACAAAAATTTTAGTAGTATCCGATGCATGTTGAAATATGTAGAAAATGTTTCAGAGCAAACAAAAAGGTTTAATACGTATACATATATACACACATGTCTATGTGTTAACTGGTGAATCCGGATAAAGAGTGGATATATGCTCATTTTATGATTTTTCTAATTTTGAAAGTTTAAAATAAAACCATTTATCCATTCTTTAAACATAAATAGCTTAGTTCAAAAAGAAGTTTTGACACTCACATTGCCCATGTACTCAGAGAGCAGGTCCTGCAGGGCCTGGCGAACAGCATTGCACTCTGCCACAATTCGCTCACGCCGGTCATCACGTGTGCAGGATGAGTCGGCCATCAGGGCAGCTCCACTAATGATGCTTTCCAGGCGTTCCTCCAAGGAAGGCCTAAAGCGTTCCTCGCTGAAGCTCAAGGGGTCCACAATAATTTGTTTCTGCAAAGTATTACAAATGTTAATGCTCATTTCTTGTTCCTCCATTATTTAAGAAGGCAAAGAAAGTGCTAATCAGAAACATCAAGATGTATCACCTAAATGAAAAGCATCCTTCTTGGCAGATGAAGGGACATATCATATAAGCTGGCCCATGGTGGATCATCACTTCTCAAAGAAGTGATCTCAAAGTCAAATAGTCTAGGTAAAGTATGATACCAAAATACAAACACAAATGTATCATGTTCTTATTAATTACTCTAAACATCTAAAGGTGAACATGCATAATATAACTAGTTCAAATTATCAAATGAGAACTATAAAGAAATTATTTTTAAGCATTGTCCTCAAAGTTTCAGATTAAATGTACTTACTATAATTTTTCACCTATCCTTTCCTCCTTTGTATCACAAGATTTATAAGCAATTTAGTCTCAAATTTGTCCTACTAAATCTAAATCAGAAACTTTCTTTCCTTAGAGAGCACTAGTATTCTCTAGGAAAAATAAATCCCCTACCAAGTCTCTCCATGAGTTACTATTACTCTAGTAAGAATAAAGCCTTTATTTCATCTTCCCTTCCCTGACTGTACTTAAATGCCATTGATAAATGAGGTCTGATCATCAGTAAGCTATAGGCACAAGGTCAACCAGATACCCTGAAAACCATTCTTCATACTGAGAAATGTCTTTGCAAATACATTCGAGTTTCTTAAAATTTTTCTGGCAGTACTGAAATTTGAACTTGGTGCCTCATACTTGCTAGGTAGGTATTCTAGGTACTTGAGCCAGATCTTCAGCCCTTTTTCTGCTTTAATCTTAAAAAAAAAAAAAATAGGGTCTTCCAAGAGTTGGCCTCACTATAATCCTACCAATCTTCCCACGTAGCTGGGATTACAGATGTAAGCCATTCCTGCCCCCAAACCATAATCCACCTGGTCTCCACCTCCTGAGTTGCTGGGGTTATAGGAATGCACTGCATGCCCAGTTCTTACTTTTTTTTCTTTAATAGAAACTATATCCTCATTAATTTCAACTTAAATGCTAAAGTTTATCTACTAAAAGCTTGCTTGGCTTTTTTCCATGAGTAAACATTTTTAAAATTTTCCTTCCAAAGCACCTTCAGTCCTGACAGTGAACATGTAATATCTTAGGAGGCTATCTCCATAGCAGAACACTTACAACTATGAACCAAGTCCTTGGGTTCAATTCCTAACACAAGCAAAAGAAAAAATACTAACTAAAAAGTTAAAACACAAATTTTTTTTCTGAGTAACACCAGAAAGGAATGAATAGTCACAAAACTTTAATAGTCATAAAACTACAACAGGCCTGAGATCATTTAGTATAACCCCTAATTTTACAAATGAAGTGTGATTCAAGAGTTAGATAACTGCTGATAAGTATTAGTCAACTTAAGGCAAAACATGATCCTTACTACCTTGAAAGACAGAAATGTTAAATCTGTCAGATTTGAAAGTGGGGTACACTAGTAACAACTAAGTAAGAGTTATAAAAGTCATCTCATATTTGAAGCTCTGGGTCAGAACCTGAAGGTCTAGTTCAATGAAACAGTACTTACTTAGCACATATGTCTCTAGATTCAGTTCCCTGCATCAGAAAAAAAATAAAGCTACTGAGTAAAATGCAATTACAATGCTATGAAGGCCTTTGAGCTTAATGCTGCCTTCATGCTGTAAAAGTCCTAAATCAGCCTCATGCTTATCAGCAAGGATCAGTTACCAAACTGGGAATAAAGAATTAAGACATTCCTTCTCGCAAAAAAGGTGAAGAAAAACTATTAAAACCAAACTGCACTCCATCATATTGGTTCTATAGATCAAAGCACTTATGATAGGATGCTATTCCTCTGGAACATATGTTTTCCTTATTTTAATTTAAAAATTGTATAAACAATTGATTTTTGTCTTTGTATGGGGACTTAGGAGATGTTTATTTTTGCAGCGCTAGGGATCTAACCCAAGGCCTTGCACATCCTATACAAGCACTATATCATGGAAGTGCATCCCCTAGCCTATCAGTTAACTTAAAACAAACAAACAAGTTAGGTGTGGTGGGTGGCACACTCAGAACTGGGAAGAAGATTGAGGCAGAAGAATCACCAGTTTCAGGCCAGACTGTGTTACATAGCCAGATTTTTGTCATGGAGGCAAAAAAAAAAAAAAAAAATCTTAAAAGTGCTGCCATCTACTGGAAGCCATGAGGCACTGTGGGGTAGGAATAAAAAATCCCACCAAAAACTTAACACTAACATTGTGTATACATGACAGTGTGAACACTGATATTTTGGGGCATCATCTATAAGAGGAAATGATATTTTAACTCAAAATCTGCTTCCATTTTGTGTTCCTGATTCAAAGTAAATCACTAAGAAAAACATATCTAGGCAGACAAGCAAAATTAAAATGACAGCAGTCGGTATGCTTTGTCTGTATCTTCCACTTGACCCTGAGCTTAAGAGGATGTCAGCTTATGAACACTTGGCATTCTTTGTCTATATACTCCATAGCTTTACCATCTTCCAGTCAAAATGAAATCAACCAGACTCATATTCTTAATAAAGAATGACCTCATAGGAAACATAAATTACATGGAAGAATCCAGAAGTTTAATTCAGGATAAAAAAAAAAAAGATAAATGCTTTAAGTCAAGTTATGATCAAGTAAAGTGATGATTCCTAGTAATTTCTTTCAACTTAGATTTGTAATCTAAGTAAAAATTCAGAAGCCCTGATCACATTCTCAGAAACCTGTTGTCTTTTGGAGTTTAGTGAAAAGCTTAAAGTTTCCTTCCAAGTATTACTTACATCAAAGTTGTTGAGAGCATATGCCAGTTCTCCTCCACCACTTCCCTGGTGCTGGGAGGCATCATCTGACGTGGTAGCCTGGGCTGCATTAGAAATGCCTGTGACTGCCTGTTGCAGCTGCTTGTATATCAAATCCCGGTTGGCCTTATAGGCAGCAACATCAGGGTGCTGTAGGCATGCCTGGGATGCAGTATAGAGGATTGGAACATTTTTCTGCAGGATTCCTCTAGCTGCAGCCATCTGATCACGATGGCCCACATCTTTCAGTTCCTGTAAAAGTAAAGTAAGAAACTGAAGTGCTCTAAAAGGGTTCCATTGTAATCAGATTATGTCCATTAACAACATGGTTTATAAATTAATCACAAAGCAAGATGTCCTATACCAAAGTAAAACAAGCTAAATATTCAGAAACAGGACCTTTGGATTCAAAGAATGAGTAATCATTTCAAGGTTAACACTGTGAGCTACGGAATCACACAAACCTGGATTTAAGTATCTCCTAGTCTACTTTTTCTCAGCACCATATAAGCAAAAAGAAAAAAGCCAGAAGTGGCGTTGTGGCTCAAGTAGTAGAGCGCTAGCCTTGAGCTGAAGAGCTGAGGGACAGCGCCTAGGCCCAGAGTTTAGGCCCCACAACCGGACCCAAAAATAAAAATAACAAAAACACAAGCATGAGTTGCTGAATACCCTGATTATAACTATCAATATATGTACCTATTCCAATTAAAATGGAAAGATCATACAAACACACACTTAAAAGAGTATGAGGACTGGAAGTGGTGCTATGGCTCAAGTGGTAGAGCGCTCATCTTGAGCTGAAGAGAGCAGGGAAAACGCCCAGGCCCAGAGTTCAAGCCCCAAGACTGACAAAAAGAAAGAAAAAGAGAAGAGTATGGGTACTGCCAGGCGCCCATGACTCATGCTTGTAATCCTAGCTACTCAGGAGGCTGAGATCTGAGAAATCACAGTTCAAAGACAACCCAGGCAGGAAAGTCTATGAGACTCTTACTTCCAATTAACCACCAGAACCCTGGAAGGGGACTGTGGCTCAAAGTGGTAGAATGCTGGTCTTGAGCATAAAGAGGCTCAGGGACAGCATCTAGGCTCTGAGTTCAAGCCCCAGGGCTGGGGGGGGGGGGTGTGTGTGTGCGTGCGTGTGAAAGAAGAGTAAAGATTTGGCGGGGGGGGGGGGGGGGGGCGGCGGCTCCGGTCATGGGGCCTGAACTCTGGGCCTGGGTGCTGTCCCTTAGCTCTTCAGCTCAAGGCTAGTGCTCTACCACTTGAGCCACAGCCACTTCCGGCTTTTTTCTTTTTTCTTATGTGGTACTGAGGAATCGAACCCAGGACCTCAGGCATGCAAGGCAAGCTCTCTACCACTGAGCCACCTTCTCAGCCCCGAGTATGAGGATTTAAGTCACGTAAGTTCATTACATTTTGTGAAATTTAGGGCATGATATCACACTTACGTATGAATTATGAAAACTAGAAGGCAGATATTCTCACAAATACACAATAGCCCATTCCCTTTTCCAACCCAAAAGACAACCGTAAAACAGACTCATATTTTCCTTCCACAGTAAAATCAATCAGTTCACAGGTTAAAAAGCCGTAAGTTGAGGCTTCAAGTCAAAAAGCCGTAAGTTGAGGCTTATGTATTCCATGATTTTTTTTTGGTCGGTTGTGGGGCCTGAACTCTGGGCCTGGATGCTGTCCCTCAGCTCTTCAGCTTAAGGCTAGCACTCTACCATTGAGCCATGGCTCCACTTCCAGCTTTTTCTGCTTATGTGGTGCTGAGGAATCGAACCCAGAGCCTCATGCATGCAAGGCAAACATTCTACCACTGAGCCACCTTCCCAGCCCCTCCATGATTTCTATCCTTTAATTTTCTGTATAGATGTAGTCTAAGTAAAAATGCCTTTCTTAATTTCCTCTAACCTATAATTATAAGATATATTTGAAAAGACTTGAGGTTCTTCACATCATTTCAAGTAGTGTCAATGACATAGTGGGATGGGTAGATATGCTAAGAGACAAATAAGGGATACAAACAATATGCCAAGTTGAGAAGGGGACATTTCTGATATACAGTTGTTACTGAAATTACTCAGAGAGAACTAGAAAAAATGTTGTCTTTGATAAATGTGGATCATCACCCAAAGAGTAGTAGTTTGGATGATATACTAGATGTGATCATAGAATTTCAAATATTCAAGTCATCAACTGAATGCCAGAGTACAGATTTAAATTTATTTAAAATAAATATTACATGTGTAAACAATAGGAGAACTAACTCAGTTACACAATTAAAGGCCTGAAGGTATTGACTTGCCTTTCTAGATGGCTTCCTAATGAAGTATTAAAGACAACAAACTGGTTTTTCTTCTGAAATTTCATCTCAGTATATATTTCAGGGTTTGCATCTTCATTTAAACTTTGTATAATATGACAGCTTACAGTTCCTCCTAGACTTCATTTCTCATTTGAAACCTGAATTTTCAAATAATAGCTCACAGCACTAAAGATGTGCTATACCGAAGTAAAATAAGCTAAATATTCAGAAACGGGACCCTGTGGATTCAAAGAATGAGTGATCATTTCAAGATCAAGTTTTGAGAAGGGGTTATGGCTAACACTGCCAACTAAATTCCTGGTACATCCGTTCTAAAGGGCATTTTCCAAATGTGTCACTTAGAAATCCCACAATCTCAAGGCATCAAAGTCTTCTAGGAAGCCCTTTACCTTAAAGTGCTCATATGCTTTAAATCTATATCCTCCTTTCTTTATAAAAATTCTTTGTATGGTCCACTTCGGCATTTTTTCCAGGTAGATATAACCTAGATCAACACAGCTTATTAAAAGTTACCAAAGATATTCATGGTCATCTAAAGTTAGTAAGTGCCACAATGAACATTCAATTCCTACTTCCCTAAGCCACTGCTTAATCTGGACAATTTCCTAATTTCAAAATAAGAGCCTATGTATACATTTAGGGAACTGGTGATCATTTCAAGATTCAACTTACAGGGGACTATGGCTAACTTAAGCTTACACAGTTAGTGTAAATGTTTTGTATGGAAGTTTCTTAATGTCCTAGTCACATTATAACATATCACTAATAGATTCCTACTTGCCAAGTATGAGAGATAAATTCTAATTCATTTCATTCATGAAAATGTCATTTATCCTAGCTGCTAATGTATCCTACTTTCTCTTTTTAGAATTGCTTTTAACAAACAGTAACTAGACTTTTGTTACAATAGGAAAATGGACTCTAGAATGGTACAAGAATGAATATTCTTTTGAAGCTGGAGGCTCAAGTGGTAGAGCACCAGCCATTATCAATCAAGCCATTAAGAGTACAATGCAAGTTCAAGTTCCAATACACACACACACACACACACACAAATTCTCTTCAAGACATATAATATGAATAATCCAGATTACTAAAAAGTGAGCTATTAAGCAATGTAACTGATTAATTCTTTAGACTTGTGATTTCTCAGCTTCATTAATCTGGTTAGAATTCAAGGAGACTCAGAAACAGCCAAATAAAACAGAGGGAAAAAACTGCTTTTCATATAATTTAAACTATCCATCCCAAATAAAAACTAATTTCTAAGTCCTCTATAACACTAAGTTATCCAAAAGCTAGAAACTCAAATGAAAGTTTTCTTTCTTTTAACAATACATTATAGTCATAAAGATTTGACCAGAAGTCTTTATTCCAAATGACTACATTTAAAAAGTAGCCCTTGAACAATCCTGATATTCTACATATTCAACAGCAACAATACTTTTACCAATGTAACAGTTCAAGTCAGAAAAACAATCATACATGTTAGAGTTTATAGACTAGCTGAGAATTAAAAGGGTTTAAGTACTTCCAAATATCTCAACAAGCTCTCTTTACTTAGGTGGGTTGAATTTGAACATTAAAGCACTCTAGAATGTTGAGGGGCAAAAATGATGGTGTATGGCAGAGGTAATACTCCTTACAAAAACTAGGTCCACTCCTATCTGTGCCATTATCTTTACTCTTTCCTATGGTTTGAATACATCCTCTCAAACCTTACATGTTGTAAACAATCCCCAAAGTCCTATGATAATGATACTCAGAGACGGAACCTTTGGAGGGTAATCACGACTAGAAAAGATTGTGAAGGTAGGACTCTCATAATAGCACTAGTGGCTTCATAAAAAGACAGACCTGAGCGCTTCTTGCCAAGTGATACCCTCTGCCGTGTTACAATGCAGTAACATGTAGCATCTCATTAGATGCTTACAGTATATTAAAACCTAGCTCTTGATGTCCTAATCTTCAGAATCTTGAGTAAAATAAATAGGTATTAGTAATCTATCCAACCTGAAGCATTCAGTTACCAGAAAACAAACTAAGACACCCTTATAGTTAAAAGTAGAGACTGGAGTGTAAGAAGAATGTAACACATTCATAATCAGCAAACATTTTAGCCCAAGAAAATAAGAGATTAGACCCATGCTTAGAAACCCATTCTAGGATGGAGCTGCAGTACAGCAAGCAGTTTATTCACTCATTAAATCAGTAAATCTAGACTATGTTCTAGGTACTAGAACATTGTTTAGATGTTTATAAAACCAAGTTTATAAGACAAAGTAAAACAGACAAAAACCCTGGCCTTGAGCCAAACACTTTTGGTTCAGATCCTAGGTCTACCTCTTAATGAATAAACTTGTGAGATTACTTTTCTATGGTACAATTCCTTCAGTTAAAAAAATTGTGACCATGGGAGGGGGAGGGGGGGCAACAATGCTTGATAAGAAATGTACTCACTATCTTGCCCATGTAATTGTATGGTATTTTCACAACAAAAAATAAAAAGTAAATTAAAAAATTGTGACATTTTATAATATCTGCCTAATACTATCTTGTGACAAATCACATTAACATTTATAAAGGACTTGAAAGAGCACCTGGAACACAGTAAAGTGCTTGGTTATTCATTATTATTTTCAGTGACATCATTGTGACCAATACACTGGAACTTAAGGGATTTTTCTTAATGGATAGCTCCTATTAAATTATACAAGAGCAACTCAGCCAGTGCACATATTACACCTAAATACTAGTACATTCCCTTTTCTAGACTAAGGTTAAGAAAAATGAGATGCTCAACAGTGGCATTATTTTTAACATGACTAAAGAAGAAAGAAAAGTCAAACATGAAAACAGACTAAACATGTAACAGTGAAAGAATTTTGCCAGAACATACACACATGAGAAAACATAACTAGCCACTGAAGTAATACCAGCTGGCAGTAGCCATATGAAACTAAGTGTGAAAGTACCCAGAATGAAGTTTCTGACAGGATGAAATTACTAATAGTTTTAATTCCCAACAAAAGCACTAGCTTCATAGTAATCTATCCAAAGACAAAGAAGTTGCAAAAAGCCATTTTGTGAACAGTAGGTACACAGGAGCCCAAAATCAGCCTACAGAACTGATTTTCTTATAGGAGCTAAGGCTAAATATCCAAGAACTAGGCAAACTAAACCTGGGGATATAGTTCAGTGGTAGATCACTTGTTCAATTTCTAGTACCATGGAAAAAAGAAAAAATAGAACTGAGCAAACTATAACTGACCATGACATACTACAAACTCAAGAAAATGGGAGCTTGTATTACTCAAAATCTCAACAGCAAAAAGATTATAAAATCAATAGATAATTTAAAGATGGTTTGGGGACTATTAAAGCAGTATAACCAAAGTACAGAGAAACCATTAGGTTTTAAAACTTTAAACCTGAACAGACAAGAAGTAATGTCACCAGAACCCAGGAAGCAAGGTATGTGGAAAGTGCTGTACTCTTGAGCTACCCAAGGCAACCAGCAGAGAAAGGGCCAGCTTCACTTCTAACTTCTTGCATGTGAATAGGGTAAGCAGAGAGAGAGAAAATGATAATCCAGCATGTATTTAAAAACATGTAGGCAATTGTATGTTTCTTGTGACATTTTGTTTCAGAAATATTTGACACTTACCTACTATTATTGTCAGGTGTACTAAGGATGACCATGTTAGAAAATGTCAGGAATTTAGATCCTTTGATGAAAGGGAAAAGTGAATGTGGAGAGAACAGCGTGTTTTATTCAGGTTCACATGTATGTAGGTCATTCTTGGAGCTTGCCCTTAGGTCCTGGGGGCTGGCTCTGAGCTCTTAACAACCAACCCTCCTCATTTAAATTAACGTGTGTGTGTGTGTGTGTGTGTGTGTGTGTGTGTGTGTTTTCAAAGAGTAATATAAGCTATTGACAGAATTTAATTCAGACCTTTAAAAAAACAAGAAAATAAAACCTTCACTATTCAGTTTTGAATTTGTGCTTCTGGGCACTATACATACCACAAAATATCCAAACTGACATAGGTATTGGCTAACAATATTAACAAGTCAGCTCTTGAAGAGCAGTTTCAAATTATGAATTAAAAGTGGGGACTCGGGGGCTGGGACTGGGCCGTTAGCAAACCCTTGGGACGCAGCCGGCTCCCGCTTCTCCCTTCCGCTTCCAACCCACTGTCTGCTGAGCAGGTGGATGTGCAGCAATAACATGTCCACCCCCACTGCCCACCATTGTGCCCGCCACCCGCAAGGCCACTGCTGCAGTTATTTTCCTTCATGGACTGGGAGATACTGGGCACAGATGAGCAGAAGCCTTTGCTGGTATCAGAAGTTCACATATCAAATACATCTGCCAACATGTGCCAATTATGCCTGTTACGTTAAATATGAATATGGCTATGCCTTCACAGTTTGATGTTATTGGACTTTCACCAGAATCCCAGGAAGATGGATATGGAATTAAACAGGCATCATAAAGTATAAAAGCTTTTTTGATAGATTAAGAGGTAAAGAATGGCATTTCTTCTAACAGAATTATTTTAGGAGGTTTTTCTCAGGGAGAAGCTTTATCTTTATATACTGCTCTCACCATGCAGCAGAAACTGGCAGGCATCACTGCACTGAGTTGCTGGCTTCCTCTTGGAACTTAGTTTCCACAGGGTCCTGAAAGTGGTGCTAATACAGTTATTTCTATTCTCCAGTGCCATGGAGATTGAGACCCTTTAGTTCCTCCCCTAATGTTTGGTTCTCTGACTGTTGAAAAACTGAAAATTTTGGTCAATCCAGCCAATGTGAGTTTCAAAACATGTGAAGGCATGATACACAGTTCATGTCAACAGGAAATGATAGATGACAAGCAATTCATTGATAAACTCCTACACCTCCAATCGATCGATGTCACTAAGAGGCCTTGTGTAGAAGTATACCAGCATCACTGTAGTCGATTATAAACCTTTTCTCATGCCTGATCTTAAAACTTCTAATGTTTGCAGTGGTAAAAATGTTTTGCAAATACGCACAATGATTCAATAATGTCTCCCCATGGAAAATTTATGATCTTTTAAGTTTCTACATATGTATTTGTATAAAATAATCCAGAATACAGTAGTATTAAAATAAGTGACACCATCAATTTCTTTTTCTCAAATATAATTCAGCAAAATAATAAAAATAAGAATTAAAAGCATATGTTTTATTAGGAATTCAGAAACAGTATGAAGCTAAATGGCAATGCCTGTGCTCCTGCAAAATATACATTTAAAACACACAGTGTCCAAAAGGAAGGACTTCAAAGTGATCCAATAGCAAAAAAAAAAAAAAAAACCCAATAGCAAAAACATCAAAGAGCTTGGAAAACAACACTGCTTCACATGCCACAAAACAAATTACTGGAATGATTAGTAATAAGCACATAAAAAGTGAAAAAACGTGGGATTAGGGAAGGGATACTTTTTGTTACAGAGATAATTCAAACATCTTTTAACTGGCTTTAGTTTTTAAAAGATCTGAATTAAATTTTATCAGTAACCCAGATTAATTCTTGAAAATACATACACATGCTCACGCGCATGCGGTTGTGCACATACACACACACATATCTTTATTATCTCTCAAGACATTATCTTCATTGAAAATTATCATACTACTTAAACTTTGCACAAGGATTAAAATAAGTGCATAATATGAGTATCATTTAGTGGCTCTGTTAATAGCACAATGTTCAAAACATACTACTTAATGTTTTAACTGAATTATATTCACAGAGGAAATGTAAACAAAATTAATTTTCTCACAAGATTATGAAGTCTAGAATATCCTAAAATAAGAACTATACCTGTTGTCTTTTAGCTGCCATAATGTTCAACTTATCCACTTCAGGTTTCAAGGCTTTATACTGTATTCCCAAGTCTTGTTCATTGCCAGCATTCCTCAATTTCAAGATACCATCTTCTACCTATTAAAAAAAAATCCCCAAAAACAAAAATTCTGAACCACACAAATATATAAAGAAGATGGGATGTCCTAGGATATTTTTATTCCTTTTAAAAGCTGTCATAAAACAATCCAAACTCAAGTCTCTTGAGTTGGCCAAGCCTTCCTTCTGCATAGGTGCTTTATAGGAACTGAGCTTTTTAAGTATAAATATTAGCCTCTATCAATAAATAGACAATTTAATTATGTATTGTTTTCTAAATCTGAGAACTCTATCACTACAGGAAATGTCTAATCAGTATGCTGCAAAAGAGTCAAAACTATTTGCTGCAAGTTTTTCATTAGAACCAAGACAAAATGGCTCATAAGTAGAAATTAAACAAAAAAATCCCTGGTTCATTTAGATAAACCTAGTGCAAAACCAAACCAAATGCTAAGGAATGTTAAATGAAGTATATCTAGCATCAGCCTGATAGAAAGAACAAATTACAAGATAAGAGTTGTTTGCTCACACCTGTAAGGCTTGCTACTGAGGAAGTGAGGATCATAGTTCAGACTCAGCCCAGGTAGATAAGTCCATGAGACCTCTATCAACAATTAACCAGCAAAAAGCTGGAAGTAGGGGTATGGCTATTGGGTATAATACCAGCCCTGAGTGAAAAAGCCAAGTGAGAATTTTAGGTCCTGAGTTCAAGCTATAGTACTGGACAACAACAACAACAAAAAAAAGAATTAAAGACCCAAGTTCATACTTACAACTTTCAGTTGAACAAGTAATTTGTAGACATCTGCCATGTCAGCCAGAATAAGTAGCCGGGTAACAGCAGAAAGCAAAGCTCGAGCTGCCCGAACCATGTTGCCTCGCTTAACAGAAGAACATGGATCATCTGCGAACTCTCCCGCAGCACTCTTCATCAAATCTCCTGTTTTAAAAGATTTTAAGAAAGAAAAACAGAACTCAGCAGGAATTAACCCAAATAATGATGTCATTTTAAAAGAGAAAAATAGTTCAAATTCTGTATAAGTTTGTTTTTCATGTGCCTTTTTTATAATTGTCACTTAAGCAAGCATCTTCATATAATGCTTGTAGAAACATAATATCCTGAAAGCAACTTGGTACTATAGTAACTTTAAAGCTGCTAATGATGTTTAAATACTTTAAAGAGACTTGAAGATATTTCTTCTGTTTGACCTAATGATAATAGTACTCCTGAGACTCTTATCTCCATTTAAGCATCAGAAAACCAGAAGTGGAGCAGTGGCTCAAAGTGATAGAGCACTGGCCTTGAGCAAAAAGAGCTCAGGGACAGCCCCCAGGACCTAAGTGAAAGCCCCAAGAATGACGTTCATAAATACATACATACATACATACATACATACATACATACATGTGAACCTAAGTAAAACACACCATTCTCTCTACATTCACTTTTTCCATTCATAATTGAGGCTATCTAGCAAAAATCATAGGACACTAGATAATATAGCATAGGATAACAGAAAAACAGACAATGACTTAAAGTATCTCTGACAGTCTTTAGCAAAAATTTCTGGGATGTTCCTGCTTTTTTAATCCACAAAAATGTTTATCTTTTGTGAAAATTGAGCCAAGAAATAAATATTTAACATCAACTTAGTTAATTCTTAATCAGTAGAGAGAGCCTACAAAACTTCTTTCTCACCCTCTGAGGGCAAGGAAAGGAGCTGTGATATTTCCTGTTCCAGTTAACAGAATGATTTAAAAAAAAAAAAAAAGAGTACCACAACATATTCATGTTCTCATTTTCCTTACTAACTCAACTGCACCCTGCTGCTATTCACAAACACTCCAAAGAGAGACACTTACTTCCTGATTACACATTCAAATAAATGCATAACATGCATTTCAACTTGGAATCACTTTAAGAAATTAACTAGTGGAAACCAAGTTACTGCAACATCATTACTAAAGTCATGCCAACGCCAAAATTTTATGCTTATAAGAGAACTTCCTCTGTTACATTGAACAAATGTATTAAGGCAGTTAACTTTAAAAATATTTTTATCCTAGTGCTATTTTTATCAGTTAAACAAGATAGTCTTAAAAAACAGCAATTTCAAAATGATAGGCAACATTAGAATTGAATAACCTCACTGTTCTTTCCTCACTCCAACTTACTATACTAGCACTTGAATCTCTGCAAAGCAGCATATGCTCCCACAAGGGTAATGATTCAGGAGACATCCTTGACACAACCCAAATCAAAGAAAACATAGCTTCTACCCAAAAGACTTAGACAGTCTAAGTCACACAGAACAACTTTAAATTATAAAACTCACAGATGACAACCAGTTAATGATTTCTCAAATTTATATTCTGCTTTTCCTGTTCAAGTTAAATGAAGAGTAAATATATTAAATACTAAAACTGAAGGTAAAAGGGTCAATAAAGAACATTTTCTTTCATTACAGTCCTCAAAAATATATGAAGGATAGGAAATGGATGAAAGCACTTCTAACAAGACTCAAAAGGGAGTTCAAAAAAGGCATACAAACAAAATAAATAAATAACTGGAAGAAAATTCTACTCAGACAGCAATAAGGTAAAGCAACAAATGAGAACTGAGAACTCAAGGCAAGAATGAGAAACATCACCAAAATAATTAGATTTAATGAAGTTATTACACTAATCTGAAAACCTAATTGACTTAACTTTAATCTCAGAATATTAAATGTTTCCTTGATATTGCTCTTCCAAGAACATCATTAACACATTTTGAAACTCACACTCTACATTCCATCATTTTTCTCTTGTGAAAAATTAAACAGTCCATACATGATAAAAATCAAGCTCCTGATCTCAATCTGATTAACCAGCCTAGATAGGGAAAATTCAATCTCTCTCCACACACCCACACAAAGTTCCTCATAGCTATGTTTTATGTCTTCACATCATGAACTGAGTAAATCCAGACTTCACTGTCTCCTGTCTACCTCTCAAACCCTATTCATGGCAGTCACTTGACAGTTACTTTGTCCAGAACACATCTACCTTTTAACATCTATCATCCAGGCTGCCTATATTAGATGTGGGCACATCAGTCTGAAGCTGTAGACATCAGTACTGGACAGGAGACCAATTTTCACCTCTAGTCAGTTTCCAGAGTAACTCTATAGTCAGTTTCTAGAAGGAAAAAATATATATCAAGAGAATCTGACAACTTATGCTCAATATTCCTTCTGTCAAGGATGAAATATATTATTTCCCTCTAAATTTCCTTGCCAAGATTCACAATGAAAAACACATTCTAGAATATGCAGTGCGTATATCTATGTATGTCAGTCAGTCTGCCTCTCTCTCTCTCACACACACACACACACACATAGATTTTTTTTTTCAAGCTGTACTAAGGAAGTTTATACCCTAAAACTCTGTATCTGATCCTTTCTTTACACCACTGTCCTAAGATACCATCAGGTTTTTTGTGTGTGTGAATTTTTTTTTTTTGGGGGGGGGGCCGGTCCTGGGGCCTGAACTCTGGGCCTGGGCGCTGTCCCTCAGCTCTTCAGCTCAAGGCTAGCGCTCTACCAGTTGAGCCACAATGTCACTTTCGGCTTTTTTCTTTTTGCTTATGTGGTGCTGAGGAAGTTCAAACCCAGGGCCTCAGGCATGCAAGGCAAGCGCTCTACCACTGAGCTACCTTCCCAGCTCCGTGTGAATGATTTTTACTTTAAAAAGCTGAGAAGAGGGGCTGGGAATGTGCTAAATGGTAAAGTGCCTAGCATTCATGAAGCACTGGGTTCAATTCCTCAGTGTCCCATAATTAGAAAAAGCCAGAAGTGGCACTGTGGCTCAAGTGGTAGAATACTAACCTTGAGCAAAAGAAACTCAGGGACAATGCCTAGGTCCTGAATTCAAGCTCCAGGACTGGCAAAAATAAAAATAAAAAAGGCTGAGATGATGACTACCATTAGAGAATATTCACAAATCAACTATAGGTACTCAAATTATTCGGCTACTATTTTAGTAGCTAACAAATAATGTTCTAAAACGAATCACATTTTTATATGAGGATTGAAATAAAGACCAAAATTTAGCATTAAATATTGAAGCCAGGCACAAGTGGCTTACACCTGTAATCCTAGCTACTCAGGAGGCTGAGATCTGAAGATCATGGTGCAAAGCCAGCCCAATCAAGAAAGTCCATAAGACTCTTATTTCCAACAAACTACTCAGAAAAAGCCGGAAGTGGCACTATGCATGGTTCAAGTAGTAGAGCACCATCCTTGAGCAAAAGCAGCTCAGAGGCAGTGCCCAGGCCGAGTTTAGGCCCCAGTACCAGCAAAAAAACAAACAAACAAACAAAAACTATTGACTGCTTTTAATAAATTGGAGCCTTACAACCACTCAAGAACAATGAACAACATTATTAGCAACAGTTACCTAAAATGAAATACTGGTCTAAAAGGCCAGAATCTGAGAAGTTTCACAAAAGGATCGTGGTTCAAAGCCAGCCAAAGCAGGAAAATTCCTACGACTCTTATCTTCAATTAACCACCAAAAAGCTGGAAGTACAGCTGAGGCTCAAGTGGCAGAGCTCTAGCCTTGAACACAAAAAGCTCAGAGACAGTGCCTAGGCCTGGAGTTCAAGCTCCAGGACCAGCACCCAAAAAAAAAAAACTAAAGTAAATACAAAATTATGACATGTACAATCATTCTTGATTCCCAACTCCAAAGTAATTCTATTTCTGTTACATTACTAGATTAATGAAGGAAATCTGAAAGCAGCATCTCTACTCCAATGAATCATGTCTTGATTGTTTAAAACCCGGTAGATTTTCCATCAGTGAGACAAATAAAATACTGCTGCAGAAAAAATATGTATATATTTTTGGGAATGTACAGAAATATAAATACATTTTATACTGTCAAGTACTGTAAAAAAAAACAAAGCAACCTTTTATCCTACTAAATAACTATTTTTCTGTTGATTGTTAAAGAGAAAAAAGAAAAATAATAGGGCTTCAATTAATCAACTAAGGAGAACATTTATAGATACCTAGCACTACCTTAATAATATTCACAGGCACTATCTTTCAGATATATTAGTAAACAACCAAAAAGTTCAACATCCATTACCAGTGTAATTTTTCACCTGTGATGTTGGGGGTTAAATTCAAGGTCTCATGCATACTAGACAAGTACTCTACAACTGAATTATTACATCCCCAGCCCCAATATTGCCATTTTTTTACAAGAAGCCTTTTATGCCTATAAAGAAAAAATTGTTTTTCATCAGACTATCCTAATATTTGCCCAAAAATAATTTGTGTGTATTCCTTAATTCCTTAATCTAATATGAGTATGTGACTCAAACTATGGCCACAGAAACCAAGCAGAACCAAGCAGAAATAGGTTACAGACATTCAAAAGAAAATCAGTGATAGATATCATATATATCATATATGAAGAGAGAGATAAGGGGCTGGGAAGGTGGCACAGTGGTATAGCGTTTGCCTTGCATGCATGAGGCCCTGGGTTCTAATCCTCAGCACCACATAAGCAAAAAGAAAAAAAAACGGAAGTGGTGCTGTGGCTCAAGTGGTAGAGCACTAGCCTTGAGCTGAAGAGCTGAGGGACAGCGCCCAGGCCCAGAGTTCAGGCCCCATGACTGGACCCAAAAAAAAAAGAGAGAGATAAATCAAACTACCTGAGGCAAGTGGTTAAGAAAACTCTATATCCTAAGTACCTGAACTAAGCTCCCTGAACTAGGAGGTATTCCTGGATTCCAAGTTATAAATAAATACATACATAAATTCCTTTTTGGCTCAAACAAGTTTAAGTTTAAATTCATGTAATTTGTAATTGGTAAGGTTATATTTTATCTTCAAGCAAGAAATTGAAATATTCTACCAGAGTACAACTTGGAGATACATTTTTAAA